CCCCCGGCCACACCTGGCCATTGCACGGGTCCTGTTGCTGTGACTCTGGACACCCTGTCCTTCCCTTTCCCTGCTGTACCAACACACACATGCAGCTTCACAGGGGACCTCAACTTTCTCACCCAGGATGCTGTCCCCTGGGACCCAGAAAACACCTGGATCCCCAACCCCAAACCCCTTTCTGACTGAGCACATGGGTCCATGCTGCCCTCAGACCAGCAGGTTCTGGTGCCAGAGAGGCTACATGGTCCCAGGCTGGCACCTCTCAATAGCTGCCCAGATCTTGAGGCCGTCGTCCCGGTAATGGTAGTTAGGGATGGCCATGACTCCGCGATCTCGCAGGCTATCTGGGAGGCAGAAATTGGTGTAGGTGAAGTGGGCCAGGCCGGTGCTCATGAGGTAGAGGAGACCTTGCCTCCCGATGGACGTGACCTGTGGACACAGCATAGCTCAGCTCTGTAGCCCACTCACTTTCTACCCAGCATCGAGGAAGAGATTGGCTTAGTGACCAGGGAGTGGTGTCTCAAACAGTCCACCACCAGGAACCAACCCCCTGAGTAGAGGAGTGCCACGCAGGGCGGGCCAACTAGCATGGTGCATGACTCATCTCTCTATACCTCGTGGTGGCTTAGTGGGTAAGGAGTTGTGTTGCCAACCCAAACACAAATGGTTCGAATCTACTAGCGGCTCCGCGGATAAAGGAGGACAGTGTCCTTCCCTGTGATTACTATATGAGAGACAGATCCTTAGGTATTTAACTTCTAAAGGAAGGAACTAAGTCCCCTACTCAGCTAGGGATCAGCTGGGGCTGTCCTGCACTCCTCCAGGAGACTGAAGGGACAGGATTCTTAAGGAGATAGAGGAAGCAGAGAAGCAGGACTGAGAGGACAGAAATCCTGGCAGGACTGGAGCCCCCTATTCCGGACGGTGTTCATGGGTGGGGCAAAACAGAACCTGGCGGGGTCCAGGGCTACGGGGTTTATGCAGGCGCACTCCACACGCTGACTTGGGGCTGTCTTGGGCGGAGCAAACTAATGGGGCGGAGCCTATGGGGTGGAAATCTCGGGATGTACTTGGCAGGCGGGGCGGGGCCTCAGCTGGAGGCCAGGATTAGGGGTTGAGGGCTTCGCACCTTGTCCACGAGGCCCTCAGGGTTGAGCAGCGTCGCCCGCGCGATGGTGTTCACTTGCAGTGTGTAGCGAGTGTGGGGGAGCAGGAGCTGAGAGCAGGGCGGGGCCACATGAGCCGGAGGTTGTGGCGGGGCGGGGCCACGGCGACTTCCCCGCCCCCTGCAGCCCTGCCCTTTTGGCCCCGGCCCGGGTGGCACCGACCTTGTAGATAGGATGGCAGAGGGGCAGCTGACGCAGCGTGGCCATGGCGAAAGCCTCGCACAGCAAATGCGTACACAGAAAGTGCGTGTTGTTCTCATGCACCAGGAACTCAGAATTGCGCACCCACGTCTTGGCCAGCAGCCAGTCCCAGTCACAGTCGGTGGGCAAGAAGATGGGACTCTCGGGGCCGGGAGTCTGGCTCAGCTGTATTGCAAGAGTAATAAAGGGGTGGGATTCAAGGCTGTGAGCCGTCCTCAGAGGCCCCACACTCCAATCCTGTCCCTAAGCTCACCTGGATGGCTAAGGGCGTCAGGGCCCCCTGGGGGTTGAGCCACAACAGACAGAGCGGGGCAGCCACGTACTGCTGGTGGCCGTTCAGGCAGTGGACAGGGGCGTCGGCCAGAATCCAGTAGTCCGCGAGGAAGACGTTCCCCCTCTGCAGAGGGGTGCAGAGCCTTGGAGGGCACTCCACCTCGCACCCCTCCCTTCTTATGTCCTCAGACCACTCCTTACGCCAGAGGCCAGGATTGGGTACCCCACCCTTCCTAGAACGCCTGGAATGAGGTCCGTGGCGTCCGTCCTCGGCCTCGTTGTGAAACCACTCTCTCACCTGCCCGCCCAGTTTGGACGAATCAGCATCCTCCCCTCAACCCTCATACCTGCTCCTTCCGACTCCAACGCAGATGGAATCCCCACCTGAGATTTGCCCTCGCTTTTTCCAACAATAGCGACAAAAAAATTTCTAGAGGATGCCTGAGGCTTAAGTGTCCCGGAGAGCAGGTCATCATGACCTCATGCCCTCAGAAATGCTTTCCTCAAAGTCTATCACCCGAGACTGTGGGGACCCCAGACAGGAACAAGAGGTCCTCTTCCTATCACTTCACCAGGCCCACTGGTGGTCTCACACCATCCTAGCCCCCATCTTCATCTGCTTTAATTTAAAAGTGCAGTCTCAGTGGGACCAAGCTTGCAGATTGGACGCATCCCAACCAAGCTTTGTCCTTAATGGTAACTTGCCTGCCTCCCTCCCTCCTCTCAGGCCCCCTTATGAGGGCCTCACCCACCTCTAGCTCTGTCTGCAGACAGGTATCTGATCCCAGCAAAGGGGCCACCATGTCATTGGTGACAGGCAGCTTGCTTGGCAAACTGGAGAGGCAACGGAGCATGACGGGATTGACACCATTCAGGTACTGGTACCCAAAGAAGTGGTCCTCACACCAGTGCTCAGTGACGTACTCTGAGGAGCAAGGAAAGGGACCATTCGTTCAGAAACTGCTTCCCTAGATACATTCCTGCCTCCCAGCAGTCTCATGAAATAGATAAAATTATACCTTCACTTTAACATTGGAAACTAAGCTCTGAGAGATAGAGGGACTTGCCTGGTAGGTGAATGACCGAGCAGCTGTTTGAACCTAGGCCTCAAAGCCTGCAGCCTGCAATTCTTGGTGAGAGGAGGGTAGAAGATGCACCTCTGATGAGGATCCAGACTCCTTAAAAGTCTCTTGGCCCCCTCAAGGCAAATATTTTTATCCACATTCCCCTATTCTAGTCCCTCCCAAAAGAAAGGGGAGGTTCCTGGAAGAAAGCTAGATTTTCCACCAGCAAAACACACTCAAACCCGCCATCTCCCTAGCAGGAACTTTTCTAGGATGGAGAGGAGGGACTGAGATGTGGTAAATTGGCAGGATGCCTGGCTCAGCACACCTGAAGTGAAGGTCTTGTGACACCAGAAGATATTCCGGATGTCATCCAACTTCTTCCAGGAGCCTCTGCGGTCCAGGAGGCCTCGAAGCTTCATGCCCAAGGACCTGAGGGGGAGGTAGTGGTAAGGGTGGGAGTCTGCGGGCTATGTTGTACCAGAATTGTTATGTCGCAGCCTAGCAGCTAGAGGGACTGAATGGAGTCAATCCCAGATAAAGGTGCCAAACAATCCACATGAGAGAAAATCCTAGTGCCTGACTGTGATTTTATAGTGTTAAGGGTCTCTGGCTGGAATTCAGCAATCCTGGGAGAGCTGACACCTCCAGTCTATGTAAAAGTGGAGTGTAGACAAATCATTCTTGTAGGTGTTTTGGTCAGCTTCCCCTAAAACTTCTCACCACAGATCTTTGCTGGCCTCTATGCCCATCAAGTCCTGAGCCTGGCTGGCCGTACCACTAGCTGGCTTCCACCAGCCCCTCCAGGCTTTTCTTCTACTCTGTGTAGTACTCAAGGCCAACCAAGATCCCCTCTCCAAACCTGACCAGATATGGCTGATAACCATGCAATGGGGCTAGCAATAAGACAAACACTTTTCACTCTGATCACTTCTGAGTTTTTTATCTCAAGTGTTATTATTATTTTGTAATCGGGGGCAGGGGTAGATGGTTGGAATGATCTGCACTCTCCACTTTCAGTGCTTTGTTCAAGCTGTGCTTCCTGTAAAATGTCATCACCAACATTTTTACCTATTTTTTTTAAAACCCTCCAGTTAACATACTCTGCTGGCAAAATTGCTGTGATGGCAGAAGCTATGCCATCAGGATTTCACATGTCAGCAGAGCCACTTATGAGAGAGAGGCTTCAGCAGAGTTTCTAGACTAAGGCAGACAAGGATGAAAGGCCTAGTGACTATCTTCTGCAAATGAGCCCATGGAAATCCTATTATTAGCTTCTGCATCAACAGTGTCTGCTTCCTCTGAGGCTAGAAGGCACTCAAAAGGTACAGTAACTACAACAGTGGACTCAATGGTGGAGATGGCACAGGACTGAGTGATAGCTCACTGTGTTATAAATAAGATCACCACAATTTGGAGACAACTTAATAACAAAGAACAGCAAAAAGTCTCTTCTTCAAGGCTCATCTTTGATACCAAATTCCATCATGAAGCTTCTCTTGATTTCCCCTAAGGACATATAGTATATCTTTCAGTGTATGTATCATGTATGTATTTTTCATAAAACACAAACTTTCCATTACAAAATCAGTGTAACATATATCATCACCCTTGTATTCTGAGCTCTATTGTCCTTCAACAAAATAAGTTAATAGCAAACACTGGCTCTCTGTAAACCAAACCAAATGGAAAGAAAAAGAGCCTAGGCCAGGCAGGTTTCCTGGCAATTGGCCACTGAGGTCGGCTGTACAAAGATTCTGAACAACCCAGAAAAAACACGGGCCTGGGGAAGGGTAGGGGGCAAGAAAAATCTGACAAGCCTGTGTCATCTGCTTTACTAAGCCACTCAGTCAATATTCCACAGACATTTGCTGTGTGCCTGCCTAAGCACAAACCAGGGAATGGGAAAACTGATGAGAGATCAATTAGGAAAGCAGAAGTGGAGGAGAACAGAGAGAAAAGACCTTCACAATTCTAGAGCCGGCTATGGCCATAAATCTCATGGCTGCCTGAGTTATGGCCGTGGCTCAAAATGCAATGATCCTGCAATCACCCCCCACTCAAAACCACCCCTTCCTCTTCACAGATGCCTTAACTTCTGCCAAATACCAACTCCCTCTTCCAGCTGATCTGTCAGCCAGGACCTTTATTTGGGTTGTGTGCCCACTGGCCAGGTGACCTGCTCAGCCTGCACCCTCATCTAGTCACCAGCTCAGATGGCTCCACCTTCTGAGATGCTCCTTTGGGTCATCAGGCCTGTCAGGTTCTCTCAGGCCCCAGCCACTACCACCTTTGGTATCTATACACCCCAGTCATCCCCTAAATTCCCACACTATGGTACCTCTCCCCACTAGCCCTACTCCGAAAGAATCATTGTGGGCACGGGAGTCCTGGAGAGTTGTGTTCAGCATTCCTTGCACCTCCATGTGGTCAGTTAAACCTCCTAGAGTGACTCGTCACCAACTTGGGTTTGCCCAAAGCCGACCCACTTTCCCATCACATATTCTCCTCTCACCCCAAACCTGCCTCAATTCCTTCTCTTTCCTAGACCCAGCTGACTCAGATGTTCTCTAGGTAATAAGGATGTTAATTGGTCCTCCTCCCTCCAATTGAGTAAATTGTTGACTTGAATTGCTAATGATGGCGCCTCCCCAAATGCTAATTAGCTTGTATGTGTCATTTCATGATGCTATGAACTCCTCACAGAAGAAGAATCTGCCTACCACAACTGTGAGGCACCATACTACTTGTAGAGACCCTATGAACACAGATCTGAACCCCATCCTATCCTGAGCCATCCTCATCATCCCTTACATACTCCAGCCCATTGCTGCAATCACAATTGTGTCAATCCATCTCATTGAGGGTCTTCCTCTCCACTGAGCCTCCACCTTAAGCATGATGTCGTCCCTTTCCAAGATTTAGTCTCTCCTAACAGCACGTATTACTACTACTAAGAGGAAATGTTGTTGTGTGCCGTTGAGTTGGAACCAACCCATAGTTGACCCTCCAGAGGGTTTTCAGAGGAAGTTAATTGCACAGGAGGAGACCGTCCATCCTACTTCCATGGAGCAATTGGTGGATTCAAACCACGGGCCTTCAGGATTGCAGCGCAGCTCATTACCACTAGGTCACCAGAGCTTCCTAATACAGTTGTTATGTGCCATCTAGTCAGAACAGATTTTGTTTTCAGAGGCTATAAATCACATGGGAAGAGATTATTCATCTTTCTCCCATGGAGCAACTGGCAGATTCAAACTGTTTGCCTTTGGGTTAGAAGTACAACTCCACACCCAAGCGTTGAGGACTCTTCTTCATAGGGTCACTATGAGTCACCTGCGATTCGACGGGACTTAACAACAACAACAACATATTACAATTGTTGCTGTGTGATTTTTAGAGTTAGCATTACAACTATTATTCTTCAATTAAAATGGGATTAATTAATACAAGGAGAATTGTGCAATGATTCTTTTCAGAGGCTTCTTCAAACTCAAACTCACTGTCATAAAGGCAATTCCTACTCACAGCGACCCTCTATTGGACTTTTGAGACTTTAAATCTCTAGGGGAAGATACTGCTCCTCTGCCATCTGTGTAGCAACTTGAGGTTTTGAACTGCTGGAGACAGTCTTTTGATTAGCAACACAACATCTTAAAGACTATAAGAAAACCATTTTTGCAGAATGAGTATAAGGATCCAAGAGGGGTGGGAGAGGTTGTAAGCAGAGGGATAAGGATGTGCGGGGGCGGTGGAGGGGATTAATCATAGGGTTGTACAATTTGTTGGGTGGGGAATGAGGGAAATTGAAAGAATTTGTTCCTGAAAACTTATGTATTAGAATTTTGTAAATAAACTAGTTTGTTGTTGTTGTTGTTGTTATGTGCCGTCGAGTCGCCTGCGACTCATAGCGACCCTATGTACAACAGCCCTAAACTCTGCTCTGTCCTGTGCCAATCGCACTGTCTCTGACACTCCCATCCCAATTATTCCAGTCACTGAATCAATCCACCTCATAGAGGGCCTTCCTCTCCTGCGCCGTCCCTCCACCCTCCCAAGCATGATGTCCCTCTCTAAGGACCGGTCTCTCCTCACTACATGTCCAAAGTAAGTTAGACGGAGCCTCAGAATCCTTGCCTCCAAGGAGCCACCCGGTTTAACCCTCTCCAGGACAAATCTATTTGTTTTCCTAGCAGTCCATGGTATTCTCAATACTCTTCTCCAGCACCACAGCTCAAAGGCATCAGTTCTCCTTCTATCCTCCTTGTTCATTGTCCAACTCTCTGATGCATAACAGGTGATTGCGAAGACCATGGTAGAAAGGGTTTTTTTTAAAAAAAGTACAACTCCTTACCACTAAGCCACCAGATCTCCCTGAGGGCCCTCATAGCCACTGTATATAGAGAGATCATTGTGTGCCAGTTATTATCTCATTTGCTTCTCCCAAAAGCTTGTCATGGATATATTAATATTATTTGTCATTTTATGAATGAGGAAGCTGGTTAGAGGCTAAATGAAAATCAAGATCACACAGCTAGAAAGTATTGGCTCTGAGATTTGAAACTGAGGTACTCTGACTTCACATCCTTAAAGCTTAAGGACTGGGTACACTGCCGATCTGTCCTACCCAACACCATACATGAGTAGTGCCTGGGACCAAACTCTACACCAAGTAAGTGCTCAACTTATATTCACAGATCTGATAGATTTGAGGTGTAAGAGCAAGTGAACAGCAAAGAGGATGTGATGTGAAGATAGAGGATGAAGGAACCTGAACAGAAAGAGAGGCCAGGGGCAGAGAGAGGGAGACTGAGGGATAGAGAAAGGGGAGAATGAGGGATGGGGGACAGAGAGAGAGAGACTGAGGGACAGGGAGAAGGGGAGGCTGAGAGACAGAGAGGGAAACTGAGAGATAGAGACAGAGACTGAGAGACAGAAAGAGAGGGAGATTGAGGGAGAGAGAGAGAGGAAGACTGAGAGAGAAAAGGGGAAGACTAAAGGACAGAGAGAGACTAGGACAGAGAGAAAGCAACTGATGGAGAGGGAGGGGGAAGACTGAGGGACAGAGAAGGAAAGACAAAGACAGAAAGAGGGGGACACTGAGGGACAGAGGAGGAACTGAGGGACAAAGAAAGAGAGAGACTAAAGGGCAAGGACAGAAGTGAGACATGTAAGGAGGTGAGAGACATGATCACAAGAACAGAAGCAGAAGGGACAGTGTGTAGCAGTAGGAGGGCAGTGGCCTCACGCAGGGATGGCATTCAAGAGCAGTGAGGTCGTCTTGGTGGCTGAGTAGCGGATATTAGGCTCCATGTGCCGCAGAGATGGGATGTCAATTTTCATGGGGAAGCCAGGCAGGTAGCGATTCCCACTGCTGGAAGGGACAGGATAGCAGAAGGACAGGAACCAGTCAGAGGAGACATAGCCCACTCGCCACAGTATCCTCCGTCCCTCCACCTGCCTTCAGGTCATCTCTCCAGGCTACTCCCTCCCTCACTTCCCCTCGCCCTCTGAGGCTTCCTCATCAGCCCATTCCTTTCCTTAGACTGAACTATCCTCCCAGGTTTCCTCATCCTCTATCCTCCCAAAACACGCTCCACTCCCCTCCCCACCATCTCCTTAGGAGCATGGCTCCTCACCTCTCAGCCTGGTCTGCACATGGTCGTGTCATCTTGGTCAAAGCAAATTTCCTGTTTGACTCCATCTCATCAAAGCTCCTGACATCCACTATGCCTGGGAAGCCAGGAGCATAGACTTTCCAGCTTCCAGAGGAGAGAGGTCAGAAGTGGCAGGTCAAGCTTAAGGTAAAGAAGAGCCTTTGCTTTTCAAAGTAAGATACCACATTAAAACTCTCAGAAATCATCCACTTTCTGGGAGCATGACAAGAAGGTGGCAATTTTCTCCATAAAGACAGTAAGAATAAAATTTGAGGATGATATTAATGGGGGGGTTGTTTGGGGTTGAAAGTCAGGGCTGGGGCTGCTTTGGGTTGTGGTTAATATGGGTCATTTCTGATAGCAGAGTCTAGGTTACAGCAAGGACAGTTTAGGATGGAGTATGGATTCATTAAAGGCAATTGTTACTGGTATTCTGGGTCTTTGTTCATGGTAAGTATTAGATTGGGGCTGGGTTCAGAAGAAAGACAGCTGCCCTCACCGGTAACAGTCCTGCCGGGCCTGGCGTTCCCGTCTCCTGTGGTCCAGGAGGAGCGGGAGGGAGTCCTGACAGACAGTTTTTGCTGTGGGCAATAAAAATTATAAGTCTTTTTTCTAATAACTCTTTCTGGAACCCCTTGACTCTTGAGCCTAATCTTACAGGCAATTTAGGTGACCTGTACTGTTTTCTGGGTGTTCATTAGTGGGAGGAATTCTGGACAACTTTGCCCCAAAATAATAACAGTCTTTCTAATTGTGTGCTTGCTTCATTTCCAGACTGTAAATTCAGTGAAGGCAGAAGTTACATTAGATGTTCCCAGAATCTAGCATAGTGCCTAATGATGAACAAAGTATTTTGTGAATGGATGAGTGGGTGTGAAGTACTGATGGCTAGGTTTCACACTATCAGCTGGGGAAAGCACTGGTGACCGAAGGGTGACTTGCTTTACCTTGACCTAGAGCTCCAACACACATCTCTAAAGCTTATCTCAACATTTAGGTCAGCCCTCGTCATGTTACTGCTCTGGATCAAACAGCTCAGGATATATAAAGACTTGGAGATTGAAGGTGCCCCAGTAGTTTAAGTGTGGTACCAAGTAAGGCCCCACAAATTCCACAAAGGGCCTCAGGAGTACCTGGCAGGGACTTCATCCACACGAGAAAAGCTGGTAGTTAATGAATAGGGCCTCTCCAGACAAATTCTCTAAGCATTCAAGAGTTCTCTTCTAGGCTCCAGAAGCATTAACTCTGGGATTTACAGGGGGAGAGTATGAAACAAGCAAGGGGGCTGTGTGTGTGTTTGTGGGGGGCATAACTGTTCATGAGTGTTTGTTTGCACAGGAGTGTGGGAGTCTGAGTATATGTATCTGTGTGGCTGTATGAGAATGTGTATGACTATATGTTTGTTTCCAGAGGGATAATACTGTCCATAAGTCCCCTACTTTTCAGGAACTCAGAGGTTCATGTCCTACCCCAGGATGCATCTATCTGGGAGACCAGAGTTCTAATTACCCTACCCACTCATAACCATTGAATCAATTCAACTCACAGTGACATTATAAAACAGGACAGAATGCTCCATAGTGAGAAATATGTATGATATATATTCATTCCAGCTCACAGTGACATTATAGAGTTATAAATCTTTATAGAAGCAGACTTGCTCATGTCTTCCACAAAGATGCTTGATGGGTTTGAAAGGCCAACTTTGGTTAGCAGCCCAATGCTTAAACTACTACACCATCAGTACTCCTTCCAGTTATCCTAACTCTACACCCTGGGCTCTGTCAGACCCCCACCCCTAATTTCAGCAGATGCCTTCCCCAGAACAGTTTGGCTGTCCCCTGACCCACCTGTTCCTGGCCTCAGCTCTGTGGTGCAGTAGCCTTCAATCCACTGATAGCAGGGGAAGTGGGATACGGTGCCATCAGGGCCAGTGACACAGACGTAGCTACAGTACCAGGAGTCTTTGGGGAAGAAAGTATAGCGCTCCTTATGTAGACGCAGCAGCAGGAGCTCACCCAGATCTGCTGAGCAGCGCACCTTGTACTTCTGCACCTAAGGGAACCAGGGGGCAAGCTCCTAAGAGAGGAGGAAGCGCCAGGGCCATTCTTTCATCATGCAAGGTGCACCCACATCTATTCCAGCAAATAAGCAGGAGCCTTCCCCACACTGAACTCACATATGCCTTCGTGTGAATTAGATTGGGCATCCCTTCATCCAGGTAGAATCAGAGTGGGTACTGGATATTACTAGCTCTTTGACCACCAGGCATTAGGGTGTAGGCCACCACAGCAATTTCCTCCAGAGAAGAAGAAACTCAAGCCCAGAGAAGGGAAGTGACTTGTCCAAAGCCCAGCCTCATTTGTGGGGAAAGCTGTGAAACCAGCCAAGCCTCGCCCCTGGTTCAGTATCCCATCCTAGTTCCTGGCCCAGTATCCCATCCTCACTTCTCTGCCTGAGTAGATTTCTCATCCGCAGGAAAGGCGTAGATAAGAAAGAGCGAAGAAGGCAGGGTTAGTTTTCCATAGAATTTGGTGTATGTGGGAAAATGATCCTCCTTCTTCCTTGTCTCACTGTACTCACCGCTCCAGGTGCAAAGTCCCTGCCCATACGATCCAGCAGCTGCTTGGGGCTCTCACCGCACGTGCCCACCAGTGTGACAGAGACATTGTCTAGAGTGCCAGCCCCCAGGTAGGGGCCAGTGGTCACACACACACGATACACAGCCATAGTAGGAGGGAGAGAGGCAGGCAGCAAACAGCGCTGGCCACAGCAGCAGCCTGTGGGAGAGGTGAAGGTACGATGGTCAAAGGCAGGCTGCAGGCTGCTGGGAGGACAGCCGCGACCCAGCTGTCTCTGGGATGCCTTTGGGAGCTCTCTCTCCCTGAAGCTCCGGGGCCTCTGCCCTCACTCCCTGCCAGCAGCTCTACTCCTGGGTCCCGCCCACAGTTTTGCGCCCTCATATTTGTTTGCGTGTCTCTGGCACAGCCTGTCCTTCTGACTGGCAGGGTCAGGCCCAACCGGATGGATATCAAAAGCCTGAGTCTCCCTGAGGAGGGAGCGACCAGATTCCAGGATTGGAGCTCGAGACTCCTGGGACACTGCCTTAGCCTGATCAGGGTCGCCTGATGCCCTGGGCCCCGTACTCCCCAAGTCCCTCCCGCATAGCTTCTCCTCCTCGCTCCCAGGGAGAGCTGAGGCACCCAGAGTCACACTGTCCATCAGTGAATCACCCACGTGACTCACTATACACAAATGAGCCGCCCTTGATGTAGACCAGACCGCACACGAGTGAGCTCACATCTGCACATTCCGCGGCGGCCGGGGACTGCTTTCCTAACACTTCCGCTCCAAGCCCAGCCCCGCGTCCGGCCCTCAGAGTCCCCAGTCATTTACAGGTCCGACAACAGCTAATATACTAATAACACCGAAGCGAGTCTGGCTGCGCAGTACATTAGAGGCCTCAGGTGAACATTCTCCCAGCTTCTGGGTCGCCCTGGACCTGCGGGACAGGGGGGCGCCCTTCAGGATCCGGGTAACCAGGACCTAAGAGGAAATCCGCGAGTACAGACCGCAGCGGCACCGCGCGTCCAGTCCTGGTACCAGTCTACATCAAGTTCGACCAGTAGCATCCGATTGTACACCGAAGTATATAGAAGACAGAGGTCGAAAATGTGGAAATTTACAAATCTATAGTAACTGCACACTGCGGGTTTCTTTCAAATCTGACGCAAAGCTCTTAAACAGATTCACAATTAAGAATACAAGCTTTCACAGTTGTAAAAGCTTTATAGGAAACAAAGCACAAAGAAACCAAGAGCCCGGATAGCTCAGTCGGTAGAGCATCAGACTTTTAATCTGAGGGTCCAGGGTTCAAGTCCCTGTTCGGGCGTCCTATTTATATGGGTTTTTACATTTTGGTTTTTTTACCTGAAAACAATGTTTTGATGCAACAAAAATTATTTCTATTACTTCCTTTTATTATTATTTGTAACAAAACAATGGAAAAGAATAAGTGTTATAACTTGACTTTAAGATTAAGCGGCTATAATAAGTATGACTTAATTTTGAAAAGGTAGAACAAATTAATGACGTAGAATTTTACAGCAGTGCACCCAAAAAGAGTGGAAAGGCACAGGTGAAGTTAAGAAACAGCTAAATCTTATAAAGAGAAAATATGAAAACCAAGAAAAAAATTTAATAATTTTGTTTGTTTAATCGAAACAATATTCTAAAACTTATAGGAAATTCTTGGTCGTTTTTTTCTCTCTTCTAAACTCTATACATTTTAATTTTATGTATATCTGAATCCATATATCAAATGTTCAATAGCCTCGTACAGTTTATATCTACCGCATTGTGTGCAAACCATTTCGCCTTGAAATCGTAAAACTAAGAGAAATACAGATTTGGAAATACCATAATGTATATAATTACTGATTGCCCAGAAAAGAGAAAGGTTCCATGGTGTAATGGTTAGCACTCTGGACTCTGAATCCAGCGATCCGAGTTCAAATCTCGGTGGAACCTTAATTTTTCGCTGTTTGCGTTAATAGAAAATTTTTTAATTCTTATTTTAACCAAAGTCCACAGAAAAACGGATTTTCATTCATTGTTGCCGTTTCCTCCATCCCCCGCCCTTTCCCCTTCCCGAGTTCACTTTTTTAAAAAAACATTCATTGTTGCACATAAGATATTCTTTTAACCTAAGACGATTTTAAAAGAAAATGAAGACACAACTGTTTAAGTTCTTCAACACATTGGGAATTTTTAAAATATATGAAAACTGGCGCTTAGTCTAAAATATATGAGATATATATATAGATAGAGAGAGACATAGATAGATGATAGATATAGATAGATGATAGATGATAAATAGATAGATGAGAGAGAGAGATGATAGAGATAGATATATGGACAAATTTACATGGAGTTCAGTATTGAAAAGGCAGATTTTTCTTTGGCAGTTTTCCAGCTGGTACGTAGGAAAGATGCTGGTGCCATTGGAAACCCGAAAGAAATGGCAAAGTGCTTTCGCAAAAATTTTTGGGCTAGAGGACCCAGAACGTTTCCTAAAGAAGAGAAACTTGGACGTACAAAAATGAAAACCAAAAACCTCCGGTCTGGCAGCGGTGGGATTCGAACCCACGCCTCCGAAGAGACTGGAGCCTAAATCCAGCGCCTTAGACCGCTCGGCCACGCTACCTGCGTAGATCTGTAGTTTTCCCATTGTCCTCCTAAGAGACTAGACGGGAGAGGTGTGGCGGCTATATGAATTACATAAAATTTATTCTTTCCTTCTCCCCCATTTTTCAAACCTGAAATGGGAAATCATCAGGATTTCTAACCGTGAAGCAGCGGACGTAAAAGTATATAAATTAGAAGAAACAGAAACACACAAAAATATACTAAAAAATGGGGGAAGTTTATTTTAATGGGCATAACCACATGTGGGAATGGGGTGCGCCTGGGCTGGAAGGATACCCCAATGGGGCAATTAATTGAAGATTCCCACCAGCTCACTCCCACTCCTTTGTTGGGTTTGGGGTTTTTTCCTTATATCTCCGCTCAAGCACTACCGCACTCACACCTGACTCTCTCGAGCTCTGAGCCCGCTAGCTCCCCTGGGCTTCCCTCAGTAAGTACATCAAGCTTTTCCTAGAAGGTCCAAAACGAGCGCTCCTCATATGCGCCGCCCAATTTCCTCCCATACAAACACCCTCCTCCTCCCCCTTACGCTGTTCCGTTACTGTTCTGATATCCGTAAGGCTTAAACCGGCACCGCTCACTAGGTGGCTCTGTGGCGCAATGGATAGCGCATTGGACTTCTAGTGACGAACAAGAGTAATTCAAAGGTTGTGGGTTCGAATCCCACCAGAGTCGGTTTGATTTTTCTCATTTTGATGTTTCAGAAAATTACTGTCTCCCCCTTATCTTAGCATTTTCCCACCTAATTTCAGCTTCAACCAGTTTCTGCTCTGATTTCTTTTTTACTTACCTGTCTGCCCCGGGGCTTGGGCCACGAAGAGTGGGACTAGGGATGAGGGACAGAGAGGAAGGGAAAGTGGGCTTTGACAAAGAGATAAAGGCAGGCCCCTGGCGCGGGGACACACCAGGATTTAATAACCATTTTATTCCATGCACTAGGGACTAGGGAAGAGAATGAGACTGGGAAGGGGTCTGGAAGAATACAATCCTAGGCGGAAGTAGGAGGAGGAAAAAGGGATGGGAGCCAGAGAAATATATATTTATATAGATACTCTAATATAGACCACAATCTCACCCGCGCGCTGTGCCCGCGCGCCCCGCTACCCTCCCCAACACCTCCTCGCCCGGTTGCCCGGGTCCCTCTGCTGCCCTCAGGCTGGAGTCTCTATCCCACCCCAGCCCCCGACCCTACTCCCCCAAGCTCAGGGCCAAGGTCTCCAGAAAGCGGGCGGCGGGAGCGGCGGGGCCTTGGGAGCCCCATCTTGTCTGTGAGGCGGCGGCGGCGGCGGCAGCAGTCCGGTGAGGGGCGCTGGGGCGCCGAGATCCCTGGCGCGGGGGGAGCAGGGGGACGGGGACCAGGCACAGCGCGGACTAGGCGGGGCCGGGTTCACTGGGGGGCGCTGGTGCAGCGCGAGGCCGGGCGCCGGGGCGGCGGGGTCCAGCGGAGCGCGCGGCGCCCTGGGGTCCACCGGGTCCGGCCGGGGCGGTTTGGGGCGCAGGTAGCCGTGCAGCGCAGAGAAGAGCTGGGCGCGGGCGGCTGGGCTGGCGTCGTGCGCGAAGGCCGCCAAGCGGAGCAGGCACTCACGGAACCCGGACAAGTAGCAGCTGGAGAGCGCCTCGGCGTCCTGGGCTGGGGACCGGGGGAACCCTGGAGCCGCGGCGGGAGGACCGGCGGGCAAGTCGGGGGCCCAGCAGGGGGAGGGGAGGGGAGAGGCGCAGAGATACCGAAGCACGACGGGCGCACGGAGAGCGGCGGGGGCAGGCGGGTGGACGGACGCACAGAGGGAAAAGACGAGGGAGACAGAGAGACAGACACGCGCGGGTGTTATTAACCTGCCGGGGAGCAGAGACTGCCGCACCGCAAATCCACCAACCCCTGAGGGTCTCTCCCTCACTCCCCGCGCCCAAGCACTGGCGCACCCCCCCGCTCCCCAGCGGCTGCGTCACCCCCGTGCTGTACCCGGGGGCTCCACCCGGCTGCGCTCCCGCAAGTAGCCCACGGCGAACTCCAGTATCTCCGCCTTCTCGAGCTTCGGGTTCCGGAGGTTCTACAGGAAGGGAGGGCAGGGAGCAGAGACAGAGAGGGGTGGGGAGAGAGGGGAAGTGGCAGGGGGAAGAAAGGAGGGGCGGATGCGGGAGCTCGGGGTGCCCCCGATCCCGTTTGCGCGCGCCCACTGAGCGAGTGCGCCGCCGAAGGAAAAGTGGAGACCAACCACGTCTGGCCCTGGCGCACCCTGAGACGAACTGTCCGACCCGAAGCGATGCAACCCACCCACCTTAACGGGAGACGGGGATTTGGAACAGAGAGGCCGAAGAGGGAAGCTGGCCAACCCTCCCTACCCAACCGAAGCGTACTGCCCTGGGACAGGGAAAAGAGGTAAGGAAATTACAAAGTCAGAGGTAAGGAAATTACAAAGTCGAAGGGTGGCGCTAACCAGGCGTGAAACTTACAGACGCGAGAGGTAGCAAAGCCGTTCGCGTTCTGAGAGTGAGAGGGGGATCTGAGGTGGGATTCCCAGGACGGGATTCGGATCAAGATGCCTTGTGACCCGGGTTGCCAATCCCGCGTAGGTTTACCACCCCCACCCCCATCGCCCATTGAAGAGCCCGAGACCCGAAGCCGGGGAGTCCGAGGCCGGCGGAGGGACTGACCTGGTCCCGGGTGCGTTCCAGGAGCAGCAGCCTCAGTTCCTCCAGGCTGCGGTTGATGCGGTCTCGCCGCCGCTTCTCCACAAGCGGCTTAAGCATCTGTGACCACAGGGGAGGAGAGAGCCGGCCCACCGGACCAAGACTCAGCGCCACCCTGGGGTATCACCAGCCCGCCCTGGGAGGGAGTGCTCCACCTCCACCCCAGCCCCAGCCCCTCTGGAGATTAGAGGCCGCGGGTTCCCTCTCCGCTCTCCCCAACTCCTACAGAAATGTCCCTGTGGGTAGTTCGCCTCCTCCCTTTCCCAGTCTGCATTCTTCTCCGAGGCTCTCCACTTTCCCTAAGCCTCTCTCTTTCTCCTCCTCCTCTTTTCTCTCTACGTCTCTGTCTGGTGCATTCTCTATCCGTCTCTTTGGAGAACTCTGGTGCTACACATGGTGTAGCGCCACATGGTTGCTACACTCAGAGCTGGTGGCCCCGAAACCCTACACATCGCGATTGCATCTCCTCTTCCTCCTCGAGTCCGCCTCAGCGGTTTCCCTTCTCCAGCAGTTCTCCCTAAAGTCTTCCCAGAGGTCACAGCTTCTAGGATCAGTGGTCCCGGGCCTTCTCTACCAGTAAGGTCCTGTTTCCTGCCATCTTACAGGTGGCGCCAGTGGTCCCCCCCCCCCAATTTTGGTCCAACCCTCATCACTTGGCCCCGTCCTCTTCTAGCTTATTTACTTATTTTACTCTGGCAAAACTCCCTCCCCAGTCCCACACTCCTGCCGATTCCCCAAAGTCCTCGACCTCTGCTTCTACGGCCCACATGCGATCTCTCCCCCTTCTTTATACTTGGCAGTTTCCCGTCGGGAGTTCCCAGGCCTCTGGCCCCCTCCTGCCCGAGGATCCCAGCCTCTTCCTAGATGCACCGCCTCGGGACACAGGTCTCTAAACTCGCCCGGGGACCTCTGCTCCCTCCCCTCCCGCCTCTCACCTTGGGGCAGTCCCTATTCTCGGCTCGATCCCGTGTGACCATTACTCCTCCGGACCCTGGTGTGGACCAGGTGGCTCCTGGCCACTCAGTGCCTTATATATCGCAGCCGCAGGGATCCGGAGAAGAGGACCCCGGCCCCGCCCCCTTGGGTACCCGCGAACCTCCGGCGGAGTCTCGGCACGAGTCTCCAGGAAAAGGGAAGGGTGGGCAGAGGGGGAGGGGAAGGAGTGGAACTGTCTCCAAGCGGTCTGGGAGTAGGGAAAGTGAGGGATGAATGGGGCACCCGCTGTAAGACACGTAAGGCAAGACCGAGCCAAAGGGAGTAGGCTCTTATTTGGGAGAGAGGAAGGAAGTTCAAGTGATATGAGGGGCAGATCCAGGGTAAACACGGATTTATGGGTGCTTATTTAGTAATCTGTAGTGAATGATTTCATAAGAGCTTCATCACAAATAAGCACGAGCAGGTCCGTGCGTACCTTGCAGACTGGGTCCTCCCGTCCCTACCAGGGTTTAGAAATCTGATTCAATAGAAGTGCTGTGGGATGGGAGAGATGCCAACCAAATCTAGAAGCAGAATCCTCGATGGAGTATAAAAATGTGCAATTACTCACTACGACAGATTAGTTGTTGTGTTGATTGCTGTTGAGTCGAGCATGACTCACAGCGACCCTATGAACGAAAGGCCTGAGCTTTTCTATAACTATTGCCATTTATCAAAGTTCCTGGATTTCCAGAGGCATGTTGATTAGGAAGTGGATGCCACTCCTGCTTCAGTACGTAAGTATAAATAAGCCTGTACTTACCTCGCTTATATAATTGATAGATAATCTAACAGTGGACAGAATGCCACTTTGGGATAAAGTGTAGAGTTCAGAGTTTGAGTTTCCCTTAGAATTGTAGCTTTTTTGAGGAGCTCGCTGCACTCCCCCATTTATGCCCGAAACAAAGTTAGCCTCTCTCCCATCATCCTCCAAATAAGTTTCTTTAGATGCACTGTGTCGGCAGGCCCGCCCTGGTCTAGGCTCAGATAGTCCGTGCTGAAATAGTATAAGAAGACTTTTCCAAGAAGGAGCTAGTTGAAAAGGATCAAATAGCTATTATAAAAAAAGAGCGAACAGGTGCTTCGGGGAAAGGGTTTTGCCAGAGTGGCTGGAACTTAAGGGACAGGAGGGAAGAAGCTTCAAGAAAGGTGCAAAGCCTTGATGCGTAAGTAGGAGATGGAGAAACCTTTCCACTCGGAAGTTTTTGGCTCAGAATTTACTATTATTATTAATAATAATTTTCATGAAAATTTGGATTTCCATTCATTCATTGTTTCACTTTTCTCCCTGCCCACCCCTCCCCCCTCCTTTGAAAAGTAAAAGTAAAAAGGTCCACCCCCTTCGTTCTGGACTCTCGTCATTACAATAGTACCTAATCACACATCCCTTTTAAACAGTTTTCTCCCTCATCTGTTTCAATGCAGTATACATTATTTATCCCATCCTTCTCAGTCTCACCCTAACCCCGATGTCAGTCTTGTTTTACAACAGTGGCACTATGCAGGATTTGTCCTTTTGTGACTGAGATACTTCACTCAGCATAATGTCCTCCAGGGTTACCCATTTTGAATAATATTGCATGAGTTCTTTGTTTTTCAATGCAGCGTAGTACTCCATTGAGTAACTATACCAGAGCTTCTCTATCCATTCGTTTGTTGATGGGCACTTAAGTTGTTTCCAACTCCTTGCTGTTGTGAACAAAGCCACGATAAACATGGGTGTGCATATATCTGCTTGGGTGGCAGTTATGGTTTCTTTGGGGTATATTCCCAGTAGTGGAATTGCTGAGTCAAACGGTATTTCTTTTTTTTTTTTTTAACAGAAATATGTTTATTGAGTTCATACTATGTCCAGCCTTTTTCCTAAGCCCTTTACTTATATCAATGCATTTAATTTTTACAGAAATGCTACCAGGGTAGGAGCTATTATTAGGTATATGTTCTAGAGGAAAGAAAGGACTTTCCAAAGGTCCCACGGTTAGTACGAGCTAAATTCAGTGTTCCAAGCTTTGGTGTTCAGCCTGCACAGCAGCCGTTGTGTACACTGCCTCCTCATGTGAGAGAATTGATGCTTTTGAGTTGTGTTGGAGAAGAGTGCTGATATCCCAAGGATTGTCAGGAGAGCAAACAAACCTGTCTTGGAGAAAGGGCAGCTGGAGTGTTGCTTGGAAGCAAAGATGGTAAAGCTTTGTCTCACAAATTCAAACGGTATTTCTATTTGCAAATTTTTGAGAAAGCGCCACATCGCTTTCCACAGTGGTTGCACCATAGAACTGATTTTAAGAGATTCTGGAGTCTGGCTGCCAGGAGACCTGACCAAAGTGTACTAGAATTTCTTGTTTCTAAGCATGGCCACAGAGGAGCAGGCAATAGGTACTTTTCCTAAAGCGACATGAAAGTGATAAAAGGGAAAGACCAGCATCTGTCTCAACGAAGAATATGATCCTTCTGAGGAATGAATCGTGAATACTCATTAACTAACTAACTAAGCCAGAGTCAGCTGAGGCTTCCCCAACCACCCCAATGTCCCTCTATAATCTTGGCTGTTTCTTGGAGTCTGCCTTGCCAGAACCAGAGACCCGAGGGGTGCAAATCTTGAGAAAACAGCTCCCATTCGGAATCAAGGCCCTAGTATTCCCCACTTCCCCTCCTGTCCAGGCCAAATGGGAGCGCAGATGTGTGACCCCAGCAACACCCGCCGCCCCCCTCCTTGGGAACCTGTGCTCTGGCTGAGTTTTTCTCACCTGAACTCGAGGCTCGGGTCCTCAGGCTGTTCGCACCCGGGTGTGGTGCCGCCCCTGACCATATGGGGTGGCTTTATGGCCCAAAGGCCGGATCCTAAAAGGGGGAAGGATGGTCCAGTGCTCCACCCCTGTCAACCGGAGGCCGCTGCTGATCAGAATTACCCAATAACTCCCTCAGCTCAGATCACGTCAGCAGCACCTCTCACAAACTTAGCTAAATCTTCAGAGCCTTTCTTCCTTTCCGTCTGCATTGGTGGTTCAGCGGTAGAATTCTCGCCTGCCACAAGAGAGACCCGGGTTCGATATCCAGCCAGTGCAACAACAGTAACTACAGTTTTTCTTTCCCCCATAGTAAACGTGAAATTAATTCCCAAATAGTACCTTTCATTAATTCCCGAATAGTCCCTTTCATTAATATTTCTACCAAATACTACTTGTTTTTAACTTTTACTCCATCACAAAGTTCGAGGATTGAAATCTATTTTCTGATTCTGTACTTTCTCACACTTCTCTCTTCCCAGCCTGAGGACCCTCCTTGCCTTAACAGCCTTTCCTCCGCCCCTGTCCCGGCACCTCCACAGGCGTGACCCTGAGAAAGGACGGCGCGCGCTGATCCCTGCCCCTGGTGGGGGGCGCTCCAGGCGTGCGCGGGGGAGGGACTAGGTCTCAGTTCCCTAATTTCCCTTTCAACTCCTTCTCTCCCACTGACTTGCACATTCTTTATTCGTATCCCTACGTCAACACCGCTACAATCCCGAAGGCAACAGATTCAGCAGCTCCACAGGAGAAGGATGCGCACTCTCTAGTGTGATTTACGGCCTCTAAAACCCACTGGAGGGTCAGCTATGGGTTGGTTCCGACTCCACCTCACACAACAAAACAACAACGTCTCCACCACAGCGTTTTGGTGTTTCTGAATCTCTTGACTTCACTACCTACCCTGAAAGCTCTTCAAGCCTCTCTCCCTCTGCATCTCAACGTTCTGTCCAGGCCCCTTAGCCACTCTGACTCGGGGACTCCGCATCCTACTCTCTAATCTCTAGATCTATGGTTGCCACTCGAAGTCCTTGAGGTCTCTGCGTCTCTCGTCGTCTCTCCTGGTCTCTGAGGGCGGGCAACTCTCTGCGCTCCCACGCTTGGGCTGTGCCCTGGGAAGCTCGCTCACACCTCCAGGACCCCAACACCTTTGGGAGCCGCCCCTTCCCGGTCGCTTTGATCCCGCACGCGTCGGGGCGGCGGGTGGCCGTGCGCACGGGCCAGCTGCCCCGGCCACTTGTGAGCGGAGGCGGGGCACCACGGCTGAGCGCGCGGCGCAGCCCTTCCGCCCCCCTTCCCCCCCCCCCCCCGCCCCTCGGCACTTGGTCCTCCCTTCCCGCGCTGGGCGCCCACCTCCGCACCTCCCCCCACCCTGTGCTCGCCCCCCCACCTCCCAGCGCTGGGTCCCCCCGCCTCCTTGCGCAGCTCTCTCCCCGCGCTGACTCCAGCCCCTAACGGCCTGCCGCCGGCTCTGTGAGTTAGGGTCTCAGTCTTGATCTATTTCGGTCCTGGCCTCTGGGACCCAAGGCAGTTCTAAGTCTGTCTCTAGTGTTTCTCCTGTCTGGTTCAGTCAGCCTCATCTCAATCAGTCTAAGTCCCTCTGCCTTATCTCTGGGTTGTCCCAAATTAAAATTCACTACTGTCAAATTGATTCCGACTCACTGACTTTACAGCAGGACAGAGAACAGCCCTCTGTCTTTAGGTACCATCGAGTCAATAGATAGGAACCCTGGCCCATCCTGTGCCATCTTCATTATCTCGACATTCTTGAGCCCATTGCTGCAGTCACTGTGTCAATCCATCAGACTGAAAGTCGTCTTCTCTTTCGCTGACCCTCTACTTTTCCAAACATCATGTCTCTTTCCAAGGAACAGCCTCTCCTAAAAACATGAGCAAAGTATGTGAGGCAAAGGAAGCTCTGTCATCCTTGGCTCCAAGGAGCACTCTGGCTGCATTTTTCCCAAGACATTTTTTTTCTTTTTTCTTTTGATAGTCCCTGGTATATTCACTATTCACAACTCAAAGGCACTGATTCTACTCTTGTCATCCTTATTCATTGCGCAGCTCTTAGATGGATTGTGAACCCTGCTCTATCCTGAACCAACCTTATTATCTCTGACACACCTACTCCCATTACCTCAGTCACTAAGTCAATTCATCTTATCCAGGGTCTTCCTCTTCTGCACTGTCCCTCCACTGTCCCAAGCATAATGCCCCTCTCCAAGGACTGGTTCCTCCTTGCAACATGCCCAGAGCCTGTCAGGCAGAGCTTCAGAATCCTTGCCTTCAAGAAGAAGCTTAATTTCACCCTCTTGAGGATGAACCTGTTTGTTCTCCTAGGAGTCTATGGTATATTCAATACTGTTCACCAGCACCACAGTTCAAAGTCATCATTCTCATTCTATCCCTAGTCATTGTCCAGCTTTGTGATGCATAGCAAGTAATTGCGAAGACCATGGCCCAAATCAGGTGCACCTTGGTCTCCAGACTGACATCATTGCTCTTCAGTATTCTGGAGAGGTCCGTGACAGCAGATTTTCCCAGTGTAACTCGTCTTCTGATCTCCTGGCTGCTGGTACCAATACTGTTGATTGTAAAGCCAAGCAAATTAAAACTGTTAACAATCTCAATCTCTTCACTGTCTATCATGATGCTGCCAATCTGCCCTGTTGTGAGTATCTTTGTTTTCTTGATGTTGAGCTTCAATCCATATTGAAGGCTGCAGTCCTTGACCTTCTGCACCAAATGCCTCAAGTCCTCCTCAATTTTGGCAAGCAATGTTGTCTCATCTGCATAATGCAGATTGTTGGTGAATCTTTCTCCCAATCCTGATGTCACATTCTTCCTCATAGAGCCCAGTCTCCCTCCCGGATGATCCGTTCCACATATAGATTGAAAAGGTATGGAGATAGGACACATCCCTGGTGTCTACCCGTCCCAGTTTTGAACCATGCAGTGTTTACTTGCTCCGTTCTGACAACTGCCTCCTCGTCCAAGTACAGGTTTAGCATAAGCACTATCAAGTGTTCCAGGATGCCAGTTCTTCTAGCGTTATGTTGTGATCCACACAGTCAAATGCCTTTGCATAGTCAATGAAACACAGATAACAAATTATTAAAAATACTATTATCTTAATCAGGCCATGGCTTAAACAGACTTCACTGATCCTTGATACTTTAACAGCATACTTTGCCAGTACAACACATCTTTCTATTTCTTTACTGCTGGTACCAAAGATGTTGGGACCAGTAGTGATTTTTGTCTTCTTGATGTTAAGAAGTAATCCATATTGAAGGTTACAATCTTCGTTCTTCTGCAGCAAGTGCTTCAAGTCCTCCTCACTTTCACCAAGTTAAACTGCATCATCTGTATAACTCAGGTTGTTGTTGACGAGTCTTCCTCCAATCCTGATGCACATTCCTCTTCATGGAGTCCAGACTCACAAATTATTTGCTTAGCATGCAGATTGAATAGGTATGGAGAAAGGATACCACCTTGACCCACACCTCTTCTGATTTTAAATCATGTAGTCAATGTTTCCTTTGTTCTGTTTCTTGGTCTAGGTAAGATTTTCATATAAACATAATTAAGTGTCCTGGGATTCCCATTTTTCTCAAAAAGTAGTTTAGTGATACACACAGTTAAATACTTATGCATAGTCAAATGCAAATAGACATTCTTCTGCTATTCTCTGCTTTCAGACAAGATCCATCTGACATCAACAATGTTCCCCATAGGAACTCCTTAAGTCATTAAAGAAGTCAATTGGCTTGTTTGTTTTTCTTCTGCAAAGTGGCTATAATGGCAGGAAATTCTCTTGCCAATTCAAAGGCATGACAGTGCCCCCTGTGATAGAATAAATAAAAAATAACTTGAGCAGGTCTGTACAGGTTTCTACCTCTGTGTCTATTCACTCTTTCATGCCAAGTCCCATACAGCACGGGGGCTACTGGGGGTCCTCATGCTCCTGGAACTTTCATTATATTGGAGAAGAAAAAGAAATCAGAAAATAATATTATTTCAAATGATTATAAGGCTGTGAAGGCCTGGGGCAGAGATTGCAGTGGAAGCAATGGCCTGACAATGACTTCAGAAAGAAGTGCTGCTTACTGTCGGTGGTCAGATAGGATCTCTACAAGGAGGTGATGTTTGAGCCTAGCTTCAGCAACAAGAGACCAGCCATGAAAAAGTGTGGACCAGTCCAGGAATTGCAAAAGCTATGATGGTGGGAGCTTAGAAAAAGACCCCCAGTGTACAGAAAGGGCACTTGTACCTGCCTCGTTCAAAATTAGGAAAGAAGTGTGTCAGGGATGCATCCCATCTCCATACTTTTTCAGTCTATACACAAACAGATCATTCAAGAGGCTGGACTTTATGAGGAGGAATGTGACATCAGGATTGGAGGAAGACTCATCAACAACCTGCATTATGAAGATGACACAACCTTGCTTGTTGAAATTGAGGAGGAACTAAAGTGTTTACTATAAAAGGTCAAGAAATACAATCTTCAGTATGGACTGAAACTCAACATCAAGAAGACAAAGATTGGGGAGGGCCTCGCAGTCGGACCGGCTGCTGAGACGAACGCTTCAGTTGGGCAGTCTACACATATCATGGGGAGATAGACGCTGCTGCCTTTGATTGGCCTTGGCCCTCACAGCTCTAAAAAGAAACAGGATCTTGATAAACTCTATGAGCTGAAGTCCAAAGCACGGCAGATTATGAACCAGTTTGGCCCCTCAGCCATAATCAACCTCTCCAATTTCTCATCTATAAAACCGGAACCAGCCAGCACCCCTCCACAAGGCTCCATGGCCAATAGCACTACTGTGGTAAAGATACCAAGCACTCCTGGCACAGGAGGTCGACTCAGTCCTGAAAGCAACCAGGTATTAACGAAGAAGAAATTGCAAGACTTGGTAAGAGAAGTGGATCCCAATGAACAGTTGGATGAAGATGTAGAGGAGATGCTGCTACAGATTGCCGACGATTTCATTGAGAATGTAGTGACAGCAGCCTGCCAGCTTGCCAGGCATCGCAAGTCCAGCACCCTAGAGGTGAAAGATGTCCAGTTGCACCTAGAGCGCCAGTGGAACATGTGGATCACAGGTTTTGGCTCAGAAGAAATTCGACCCTACAAAAAAGCTTGCACCACAGAAGCTCACAAACAGAGAATGGCATTGATCCGGAAAACAACCAAGAAATAACATACGGAGAGGTCGGGAAATGGACAACAGTGCATTTGGAATTTGGAGATACTTGAGCTGAGGCCTCAGCCATCTCATCCGTGGAGTCTTTTTTTAATGCTTTACAGAGAAGCATATATTTTTTATTAACAGTGCAGCAATATCTATAATGACTGAGAGGATCTGCCAAAAGAATAAAGCCTCCTACCCCAACTTCCAGTCCCTCTTGCCTGCCGTCTCAAAGAGGTGGAATATTTCTTCCAGAGAAGATTTTTCTTTGTGATTTATTATAGAAGTGATTGAATATGGAACAAAAAATTATGGTCTTTTTGGTGAGACAGTATTAGCAGGACATACAGAGGTTTTTGTTTCCTCCTTTCCTAGCCCTTCCTTGTACTTTGTAATGTCAGTGTTTATATGACTATGACTTTCATTTGCTTTTACAGAATAAAGAAGTTATTAATTAAAAAAAGAAGACAAAGATTATCAATATATTTAAAAAAATAAAAGAAAGAAAGAAGACAAAGTGTCTCACCACTGGTCCAACTGACAACATTATGATAAATGAAGAAGAGACTGAGATTGTTAGCAATTTCAACTTGCTCAGCTCCACAATCAACACCAGCAGTCAGGAAACTAAAAGATTTAATAACATTAGAAAAATCTGCCATCAGGGACTTCTCCAAAGTGCAAAAGAGCAATGATGTCAGTCTAGAGACTAAGGGCATAGTCTTCACAATTACTTGCAATGCATCAGAGAGCTGGACAACAACAAAGGATAACAGAAAAAAAAATTTATGCCTTTGAGTTGTGGTGCTGGAGAAGAGTAGTATTGAACATATACCATGGAATACCAGAACAAACCTGGTGAGGGTGAAACCAAGTTGCTCCTTAAAGGCAAGGATTTTGAAGCTCTATTTGACACAATTTAGGCACGGGGGAGGGCCCATTTGTTGCTAGGAGGGACCAGTCCTTGTAGAATGACATCATGCTTAGAAGGATAGAGGGACAGTGCAAGAGAGCACATAATAATGGAGTGATGAGGATAGACATGTCAGAGACAATGAAATTGGCTCAGGATAGGAAAGGGTTTAAAGCAATTGTGTATATGGTTACTATGAGTTGCAAGTGATTTGATGACATATTACAATCACCACCACCTAGTGAATTTGGAAAGTGGTGAAGATTGGAGGCAGATGTGGCCCCATAGAGGATCTTAAAGGCTACTGAAGGAGTTTCCATTTTTGTCGAAGAATAACTGAAAGTTTTGATTAGGAAATTATTCTGACCTACGTTTGTTTTTGTTTTGTTTTATTGTTCGTTGTGTACCATCAAATCGGATCTAACTGGCACAGGAGGAGATTGCTCTCCTTCTTTATGTGCTTTTGGGATTGCAACACAGCTTCTTGGATAGTGGTGCCTTTTGCTGAGATGGGGAGAATTGAGAAGGAAAAATGTTGAGAGAAATCAAGCATTCTTCATGGGTTGTGTTTGTTAAGATCTGTCTCAGACATTCAAGGGAAGTCTACAGGTAGGCTGGAAATAGGCAAGTTTGGGCCTGAGCTATTGGAGAGTCATAAGGATATAACTTCCCGCACCCCTTCATTAAAGAAACTGTTCAAAAGAATTTCTTTCCCAAAACAAACTTGAGAAATAGTGGTCGATTTCAATAGAAAAGAAAAGGCCAAGTTAAAATATGGAAGCAAATAGTTTTCATTTTGTGGAAGCTGAAATAAATGTACACATTCTTATCAAATACTTGTCCCAAGTGGCATTTTTTTCAAGCTTTTTAATCTTGAAAACCATTGAGTCTTAAAAGCTTGTAAATAACCATGGAAAGTGGAGCAGTTGGCCTCTATTTATTTGGAGCAATAGAAGGATCAGAAACAGGAAGAAGAAATGAAATAGCCTCCATCAATAGTTGCCTCTTTGCCAGAACTGTCTGGTCCTGGCTACCAATACAGAAGGCTTTAATCAAAGATGCTATAGAAGAATTTGATCAAAAGGAAGGAAATTTTAATAATCAAGGGAAATACAAAATAAAAGTAAAATTCTCATAAAATCCAAACTTTATGTGGCCACAAAGACTGGATGAACTCCCAAAACTACTTCCCTATGGTGATGTTTAGACTGTAAACCAAAAAATCCACTGTAATATTCCTAAAACCAAACAATAGTTTCTGATACTTAACTAGTAAAGCTTGTCTTGAGCACTATGTTCTTTTAAAATCAATCTGTATGGTATCAAACTGACAACAGCAGCTTGAAAAACTAGATAAGGGCAATGAGTTTCTGCTCATGGAGAGAAACAATTGGGGGGGTAAAAGAAAATGTCACCAACGTTGGACAAGAAGATGTTGAAATGATGTATTGTGTATATGTTGTTGTTATGTGTTGTCGAGTCGCCTGCAACTCATGGCAACCCTATGCACAACAGCCCTAAACCCTGCTCTATTCTGTGCCAATCTTATTGTCTCTGGCACACCTACCCTCATTACCCGAGTCACTGAATGAATCCATCTCATTGAGGGTCTTCCTCTTCTGTGCCATCTCTCCACTCTCCCAAGCATGATGTCCCTCTCCAAGGACTGGTCCCTCCTTGCAACATACCCAAAGTATGTCAGATGAAGCTTCAGAATCCTTGCCTTCAAGGAGCAGCCTGGTTTCACTCTCTTCAGGATGAACCTGTTCATTCTCTTAGCAGTCCATGGTATATTTAATACTCTTCTCCAGCACCACAGCTCAAAGGCATCAATTCTCCTTCTATCATCCCTAGACATTGTCCAGCTCTCTGGTGCATAGCAAATGATTGCAAAGACCATGGCCTTTATCAGGTGCACCTCAGTTTCCAGACTGACGTCATTGCTCTTCAGTACTTTGGAGAGCTGATTTTCCCAATGGAATACGTCTTTTAATTTTCTGGCTGCTGGTGCCAAGAATGTTGATTGTGGAGTCAAGCAAATGAAAGCTGTCAGCAATCTCAATCTCTTCACCATCCATTATGATGCTGCCAATCAGCCCAGTGTTGAGAATCTTTGTTTTCTTGATATTGAGCTTCAATCCATATTGAAGGCTGCAGTCTTTAACCTTCTGCAGCAAGCGCTTCAGGTCCTCCTCAGTTTCAGCAAGGAGGGTGTGTCATCTGCACAACGCAGATTGTTGATTAGTCTTCCTCCAATCCTGATGTCACATTTCTCCTCATAGAGCCCAGCCTCCTGGATAATCTGTCTGCATATAGATTGAAAATGTATGGGTATAGGATGCATCCCTGGAGTACACCCTTTCCAATTTTGAACCTGTAATGTTCCCTCGCTCTGTTCTGACGACTGCGTCCTGGTCCAAGTATAGGTTTTGCATAAGCACGATCAAGTGTTCTGGGATTCCCATTCTTCTCAGAGTCAGCCACAGTTTGTTGTGTACATATTCAACAATAACAATAAAGAAATCATTTATAAGGGGGAAGACTCTCTGTGGCCAGACTTCTCACTCTTTCTAATGTTTTTGTTTGTTTTTCTTCTTATCCCTGGTATCTCACTTTGCCTTTGGCCATTTTCTTTGTCTCTGGTTCATGTATGTTGGATAGTATCCATGCTGTACCAGAAGACCTTAATTTTTCTTTTCATTTAATTAAAACAAACAAAACCTCAAATTCATTGCCCTTCAGTCAGAACCAGCTCATAGCTGACGCTCCAGAGAGTTTTCAGAGGTTGTAAATCTCATAGTGGGAGTCTTGGTGGCTTAGTAGTGAGGAGTTGCACTACTAACCCAAAGCCCTGTGATTCGAATCCATCATCTGCTTTGCGCCAGAGCAAGATGGCTAATTTCCTCTCCTGCCTTTAAAAATCTACTGTGTAAGAATCTGCTCTCAATCCCGAAGGCACCAAGTTCGAGTCCACCAGCTGCTCCATGGGAGAAGGATGGGCAATCTCTTCCCATGTTATTACTACCTCTGAAACCCTCTGGAGGATCAGCTATGAGTTGATTGTAAAGAAAACAGCAACATAAATTCCCGGGGGAAGATTGCTCATCGTTCTCCTTCAGAAGAGTTGGTGGATTTGAACTCTCTCAGCATTAAGTTGGCAGCACAATCCCCTACTGATCCGGCCACCAAAACACCTTGTCTCTTCTTCTCCAGTCTCCATTTTCACATTATTTTTCCTCCATGTTGTTATGCACAGTGGAGTCAGAACTGATCTATAGCTGACCCTCCAGTAAATTTTCTGCAAATTATTTTGGTTGTGTGTCGTGGGGTTTTTTTCCCCCATATATTTTCTCTTGGCAATATTCAGGCATCCCACAGTTGCTGTCTCTGAAGTACCTTTCACAAAAACATTCCTATTAACTTTTAAAAATACTTTTAGGGTGCTAAGCTGCTTTGACTGAGTTTCCCTTCTTTTAAATTGTTTTCTATATATTCTGTAAGGCTTTAGTCATATTTTACCTAGAAAGACTCATAGATGACACAAAGCAGAAGTCACTTCCCAACAGGCCGCCAATAAATGGTTTTTAATGGTTGACACTGGAGTACCTTGATAGGGTGTATGTAGAAAGAAGACATTCAGGGCTTCAGATTGAGAACCTCAGAATTGACAAAGGATTAAAAAGTGATCAGAGAGCTAATATGGGGGGGGGGGTGGATGGAACTCCAGGGAATAAAATGGCCTAGAACCCAAGAAAAGAGTGTGTGAAGATGTTTGGGGTAGCGAAGGTGAAGATACAATAGCAATCAAGTTTAGCCTTTCGGAAGTCACATGGAATGGGGGGGAGGGGCATACAGACAACAGTATGGACAACTTTATTCTAAGTTCTGTTGTGAACAGAAAAATCTGTGTGGTGGCTTGTACAAGAAAGAGGTGAGTCTCTAGAGCCTGGTGACACTGATGTGGACGATCATGAGCCCAGCAGGAAAGACAGAAGGACCAACCAACACCTCTGGATGGAGGGGAGTGAGGAGGACTAGCCTCTCAGCCAGCTGGAGAAATCACTCTCTGGTAGCAGGTAGTGAGGCAGTAAGTGAAGAC